ATCCACCAAGCTTTTAACAAACTCAACTTTAAGTGCCAGCTGCAAACCCCAGAACCTATTTTTAAGGGCAGCAATCACCGATTCCATCTCTGACTGATTGTATTTTTTTTAAAATGGTGAATAGGCCGGCCATACGTGCTTGGCAAACTTAGGGGGCGAGTCAGTCAGGAGGCGAGTCCGTCAGGGGGCGAGTCGGTCAGGGGGCGAGTTGGCTAGGGGGCATTTTGGTAAGGGGCGAGTCGGCTAGGGGGCGAGTTGGTAAGGGGCGAGCTGGTAAGGGGCGAGTCGGCCAGGGGGCGAGTTGACCTACAATCTCCCAGACATACATCTCAAAGAATGACTCTTGCTCCTCTGCCTCTCGTCTTCAGTCACCTGGTGATCTCTGCAGTCACCTGGTGATCTCTGCAGTCACCTGGGGATCTCTGCAGTCACCTGGTGATCTCTGCAGTCACCTGGTGATCTCTGCAGTCACCTGGTGATCTCTGCAGTCGATCTCTATTCTGTTGGATGCCATCTCTGTGAAATTTCACAATAAAAATTACAATTTACGTGTAACTTTAGGCGTATTGATTGTACTGCGTTAATTCATGGAGGAAGGTTGATTTCTCCATTATCCAAATAATTAAGTGCAAGGAGAGAGACCTCGCTCTATGCATGGAGGAATTACTCCAGACCAACTTCTAACGCTACATTTTAAAAGAAATTGCTACAAGGATTTTCGGGGTAGAGGTTCAGATCACATACCTGCAGCATAAGTGGATCTCAGCATGGAGAAAGATGCACAAAAATGCAAGCATTAGGTTCGGCCGCTCGAAGCAAGGCACTTGACAGGCTCCAGGGGCGCGGCGCGGGCATCCATGGCATGATGACAGCGTGCATGTGTACGATACGACGCGCGACGCGAGGCGTGAACGAGTCACTCAATAGAGGGCGCACTGCACTACGCTAGATTTTGTTGTGATTTATTAGTCATGTTTGTCACAATGACCAGCTTTAAGTGGGTGTGAGACTAGCGGCTCTCGTTGTCACGTATTTTGCAGTGTTTTCGTGTTTTTAAAGTTGAAAGGAGGGCTCTCCTACATTAGCAAAATGGCTGTTACTTCAGAAAAAATCCTATCCACCTACCTGAAAACAAAATCCATAAAGTGTATGTCATCCTTATTCTAGTAAAAAAAATTTCTTGAGTAATTTATCTGCTGAACATATCTAGCCTCAAAATCCCAAAATTATCAGTACACGCATCAAGAAAGTCGACGGTTGACCCTTTGAAGTTGAAAATTTCACTCAATAACTTTTCTCTTTCAAACATACAGGTGGCTCTCTTTCCCGATGCGTTCACCGTGACCCACCGCCTTTCTTAGGAAATGCAACTCAGGATAAACATGTGCAAAGTACGCGTACGAGGGGGCCTGTTAAAGTTGCAGGGCGCCCTCAATGCTGGTGGTTAAAAAGAAATCTGGTTGAAAGTAGCTTGTGGTCGTGAAGTAACCGCCATCTTTCAGGTCGTGAAACATGTCAGTAGCTTTTGCCCACCAGGTCATCATCCCGGATTTCCTCCAGATTGTTATTCAGAATCCAAACGTCAGTGTGAAGGATATCCCTAGATATAGGTTGATGATCTGCCCAGTATTCAACCACGGAAGTTATACCGTGGTCTGGGTTTAGGTCAGAAATAACAGGATCTTTCCACCTACTCATTCAGGGCACGGCTCAATCCCTCCACAGAGTTCCACAAAAAACACAAGTGGATGAAATTCTGAGTTGAATGCAACATTTGGATTGCCTTGTATAATAGTTCAAAACATAAAACAGAATCCAAAATAATCTAAAGCTAGAGAACGAACCCTGAAGTTCCTTTTATTCGTCAATTGTCTAATAATAATTCCTCCTGCTTCAAAAGTCCTCTAAATGGACAGATCTTCAAGTTGTATTGAATTATCAGAGCACACGACACATGCTCAGATTGTTCTCCTGACATGCTTGCATTCAAACGTTCACGCATGCGCACTTATGAGTAGTTTAAGCTTGAAGACTGACAAGTAGTTATTGCAGCGATTCAAATTGATCACGGGAACAAATTCTTCCTGCTACAGAGCTTCCTAAATCCATAAATTTTCATTAGTCTGGACGGATTTTAATGGTCATTAGTGCATCGAGTTACTGGTACAAGTAGGCCCATAAGCCAATTACCGTAATGAGATACGTGCGCGTCACTGAACCAGTAGACTGCTCCGTGTCTCTAACATGCATCTCATTTGAAGAAATTGAAATTATTCCCTGCGGGGTTTTGGACTTTGTGACAAAAGCAGACAAATTTCTGAAATTGACCCCCGTATATTAGTGGGCTAGATCATACATATAATTATAGTTTAACCGTTAGTTGAAATCTGAAAGTATTATTCGAAAAAATAAGTTTCAATCAGTTATCTTTCTACATCTTTGACTTGGGGGTGATTAAGGTTATAGTTTTGCGAAAACCGTTCTATTTTCTTCCCCAATAAATAGTTTAAAGTATTTCATAAATTAGATTCGGTGAAAATGTGTCGAATCCCAAATAAAAAAGAAGAAAAAAGCTACATGGTTGATAACTTTGTCCTTCTGGTTGTCATCTGTTCCTTGCGACGCCATTTTCTTAATTGCATGCTTGAAACTACCTACGAGCATTACACAGATTCCATTTAGCTCATTATGCGGGTTGGGCGACTCAAATAAGCAGAAGATGAAATTCAGTTTTTATCGATTGGCATAAATCCATCAAAGTAAAGCCCGTCCGGGTCATTCTGGCTAGCCACGGTCTGTCACGAACCTTAGAGAAGGGTCCGGCAGCTGCACATACCGCGCCGCGCGCATTCCTGCTATGCGGGGTAAACGATCAGCCCGATCCACGGTAGACAAATATAGACCGATGCACGGTCAATGATCTTCAACTACGAGGCATCGCTTGTTTGCTTTGAAAGCCTTGGAGGTCGGAAGTGGTTAAAGATTTTTAGTCCACGTTTATTTTATACATGCGATTCATTTAGGTTGACTAATTATGCTAAATGTAAACAATATTTGACTTTTTTTATAGCAAATTATTTTTCTAGAATAAAGACATATTTATGAAAGAAATCTATAGCACTGGGTTCGATAGTCACAATAACTGTGTATATTTTTTGTTCCCCTTGTAAAATGCAGACTGTGATTTTCATGTTCATGCGTATGCTTCAGTGTCACCCTTTTGTTTACCTAAAAATACTTTATCATAAAACTGAAGATTTTAAGTTTTCTGTCTCGATTTAAATTACCATAGAAGTAATTTTTTGAGAGCTTCCGAAATTACGGTGAAAATACAATTAACCAATGTGAAGCAGCTACTGCTCTTAGATGTAGATTGACGCATAACTCATTTCCTTGGTTCTTACACGTGAAACATTTACTCGAGCAAACGTTTAATTTATTATTCACTTTGTATGTCATTAGGATGCAGGGACGGGCTAGACAATCTTGAGGCGATGGACCGCGCGGTTGTACCAGGAAAAGGCATCCATCATTTATATCTGCAGGTTTCAGGACGTGTTGATAAAATTAATAATTTCCTAAAATTTTCTTTACTATTCACTTAAATTTAATGACAAAATGACACTATTCATCCATTGTGATTGTACTTGTTTCATGAAATGGAAGTGGTAAATTGAAGTTGATATAAGCAGATTTGACCCTACTCGAATTTTCACCAGACGAAATCAACAGAACATTTGCCAGTGGCCTGCCTATGACAGATATCTTTTTGCTTTCTTTTAATTGATGAAGATTTGAAATGAATACGACAGAGAAAAACAGATTACTGTATCCCTTGTTTTCAGAGAGTGACGACAGTGACCTCTATTAAACAACATTCACTTTCTGAATGTACCAACCTGAATGGAATGATTCACATTCCAATCTGTTTATAAACTCCAGATGGCTGGCATTCAACAAATGAGAACTTAGTTCACAGGAAGCCAGTGTCGACTCGCTCTGATCAAAACAATTTTCCAGATGCTCAGACTACTACTGTTGATCACAATGCTGGTCTATAAATTCATCCGCGAATTTTTTTGGAGGCTAGTAATGCGATTAATTACCCCACTATCAATTGGTAGTATTATAGCTTAGTTACAAAAATTTTGAATTTTGCCACACCAACTGGAACACCAGTTATGATGTATTAGAATATCAATCATTGTAGAGACCGTTTTGTTTTATACTCTACAATGGTGAAAACAATTCTGTATTCTCTTTATGTTTGCTTTGTATTACACATATGGTTTTGGACTGTGGATCACAACTTACGTGAGGGAAGTTAAACTTTTTTACCACGCACCTTGAAGAGAACAGTGGTTCCCCATTCCATAAGTAGCTCATTTGCATAAACTCTTAGATATTCTCTACGTTCTTAATGAGAAAACCAGACTTAATTGAGGGTATTATGAAGACATCGAAGTGTAGCATGCAGTAGCAGATAATCAGCAGCGATTAAACCTGTCGTGTAAACCCGTCGATGGCTAACGAGTCAAGGACTCGTGCTTCACAGATGATGACAAGCTCAGATGAAGATATCACCTCTCAACACACAGACAGGCCGTCGGCTCTCTATGCATCATTAATTTTATGACGGTTCATATTTTAGGAATCTTCCCACATGTACACTGAAAGCAGCATTGCGACAGTAGCATAATTATGAACAGAGACCGCTACTGTACAGCTTAAAACAGAGAATTTAATCCTCCCACCTCAATGCATTTATTTACAAAACTGCCCACAATATCCTAAACAGAAAAGCTACAAACTCAGTAAGAAAAAAAAACCAACGTGTGAGAGGCATCAGTTCCATGAACAGTTATCTTACATTCTTACATGCCTAGGTATAAAATGATTATTTGAGATGACTTTCGAAAACAATGTCATCAACACTGTACTGGTTAATGAAATACACATCAGTTTTCAAGTCTCTTTCTATCTAGAAAGGAAATGAGACCTTATCAGGAACTGAAAACTGTTTGAAGTTGTGCATATTGGAGTTTGCACTTCACATCTGATCATTGCTGTATTCAGAATAGTTTTGAAGCTTGGTTATAAAATACAACTCTCATCTAGCTCCATTTTCTATCACTGAAACATACTGAAAATGCTTGGTATTATATACCCTCATATACACCATAACAGGCATTGCAGAAAAAATACCATAAACTAAAGGAATTATTTCATACACAGAAATCTTTTTCAAGTGGTGTTTCCTAAGTATTGCATGTATTTACGTAGCTGAGTAACTCTGAGTTTAGAAGAAATTAAACAACTTCAATACCCTAGATTGTTTATGATATATGGAACGGCCTCCAGCTACTCCACATGCTATTTTCATCACGGAAATCCAGTAATCGATATGGAATTAATGAGTTCCTGTATGTCATCAAACCACTTTCCGAAGTCAGTTCTTATAATTACATGAAAAGACAGGTGTAAATGCATAAGTTCCATGTAAATATTGTGACGACTGCTGGAGCTTTATTGTGCAGATACCGTACTGTGTGAATGAGCGTGTTTGGCCGATGTTTTGGTACGGGCGCTGAGCGGTGTTGCACGGCTAAGCTCCTCACTGCGTCACGCTGGTAGGACTGATCGTCACGTATCAGGATCTTCTGTTAAATAAAACGAGAATATGAAAAGTAAAGAACACGAATAATACCGAATTATATATTACTATCACATGGTGTGACAGTAATGATAAGTTACCAAGTTATCTTGGTAAATTATAATTGGTAATTTATATACTCGGGAGCATGAATCCCAGACATCCGAACAGAACTGGTCAGTTGCCACATACATGTACTTGAGTGGATACATCGCATTGTATAAAAGCGTTGGACAGTTGGACATACAGGTCTTAACAAAATTAGACTAGTATTTTGAAATTTGTGTATGATTGTTTATTAAAGCACTCACTGTGCAAACAGTAAAGTACACAGTTTTGCTGCTTGTAGAGAATGCTTGCTCTGCAGCAAAATAGACTACCAGTAAAAACATCTAGGGATTAAAATTGCTACACTTAGAAGTGTCAGGTATCGGTTCAATTTTTAGGACGTGAATGTTATAAGCTGTTACAATTTGGAAACCCATATGAAAGATTGAAGCACAATAAACAGTTGGGGACAAAGAGCGGTACAGGAAAATGTTTTCATAATCTTCTACATTTACAAGGAGCTTCAGTTTGGCAAATTTCAATCTCGAATGTAATACATATGAAATCTGTCCATGTTTCTGAATTTCCATGTAAACCTATCAGTGGATAGCACTGAAGCACTTTGGAACTGACTAGACACGCTTAGGTCTCTATCTTTCCGGTCACTGAGCAACATTTGGACCATAAATGGTTATAGTTTCCCTCAGTAAACCCTTGGTATTCACGTACCTTTCCTTGGTTTCCTACTTCTTCTTGGCTCATTACCATCGACCGGGGTCAGACCTTGGGGTATCATACATTCACGATCTATCTTCTGAATGATGGAAGCCTTTCCCGAAGCCTTGCTAGGGTCTTTCGCTTCTGGTCTCGTCTCTTTCTTGCAATCAGTAGATTCCATGTTTGCCTTCTCTAGTCTAGCGAAAGCCTACAACAGAAACAAGAATGGTAGGATTGACTTGCACGAATGTGAGTGATGACACTGTTGTACGAACGGAACCTGCTGAGTAGTTATGAAGTAGTAGGCGCTCCACTGTCTACCCGTATGTTATGTGGAAAATTCACCACCGTTCTGGGTATGCACGAAAACGGTACTGATCATGAGTGCGCCTATTCGCACATGACGCATGAAGAATTAGTGGACTCGAGCCTGACGCCATGTTAGGGCGTAGTATTAAAAACACTCATCTTTTATTATTTAGTTACCAGTTGTCAATGGGAATGGAACTGGGTAGAAGAATTTATAGCATTTTAGGTACAGATTTCTGCTTGAATCTCTAGCAAACATTAAGCAAATGAGAAAAAATGCACAACGAAGGAACACACACAAACGGGGTTTTAATTAACATTTCTGCCGACAGTTTTACTCTATATTCAAGGCACTGTAAATTCCCTTCCTTACTATGAACAAATTGGTTAAAAACGTCTCAGATTGCATGACAAACAAATACAGCAATATTGTTAATTAATTATCTGTTACTGGCCTCGAAAAACAGCCATTTAATTGGCATGAAAAAGGGTAAGACATAAACAGCATTCATAAAATAATCCAGGTATTCATATCATATAGATTTATGATCGGTAACTCGTCATCTTCTTGTGTGCAGTTAAATTTATTTTCTTACACAGCGACGTGTTTATCGGCGACCAGACAAGGAAGCTAGCTTGGGCTGCAGGCAGTGGGCCGTGAGGGTATTGAAAAATAAATGTATATTGCTCATGGGTTTGCTATGGCAAAATTATTCTGACGGAAAGACAAACAATCGTCCCTTTATCCTCTGCTGAGACGCAAACAAAACTCAAACAAAACCACTTTCAGGAACAGCTGACGAAAAATCGATGAAAAGGTCCCACGTACACGGGGTCACATGAGTAAAGGCGCGACCATGACCACTGCCAGGCTATTTTTGAGGAAGTAAATTTAGGGAACAAATTTAGACGATAAATATTCGCGTCCAACAGATTATTTTCACTTACCTTTTGGACAGGAATCAAATATTGAAGAAAGAGTAGTACAAAAAGACAAGCTGGTTGACGTGTCTGCCAAAATTTCGGCACAATCGCTAAAGGATATGAAATTGCTTAATTTGTTTAGATCATCCCTGAAATTGTACTTAACAAACCACCGACTGCAAAGCGTAAACGCAAATACACGAGATCTCCAAAGGTGTCCAATTTTAGGCTGTTCTCATTAATAACTCACCCCTGCGGAAACCAAAGATAGATTTTAGAATCCGGGGGGAGGAAGCACGCGCGCTGGATTATTGGGAAGTAACCGGGTGTTTTTCTGTCTGGGTCAACCAGGACTAACCTTCAAATTATAATATGAATCCGTTGCCATGAGGACGAACCCACGTCAGGATAGGTTGTACGTGTCCTTTTTGTTCGTCATAAATGTTGCCAATGGTATTGCACATCATGGATTTTCCCAGGAGGTTATTTTTGTTGCAACAACATACCTCAGTATATGAGTAATAGGCCTGTACCTCGGCCTAACGCGTAAGCTGCGACATACGGAAACGACGCATTGTGTATCCAACGAAATTTTCTTTCTACGAATGATTTGGACTCATTTTATTTCCTTACAAGAATTCGCGGTAGTTGACGAAAATATAAATGGCTTATAAAGTATGGTTTAAAAATTGTTGTAAGCTGCACGATCTCTTTTTGCAAAAGTTTTGTGAATCGCCAATTCTTGTAATTTGACGCAGTGAACATTTTATGAAAATGAAGAGACGTGATGCATGTATGCGTCATTTTTCGGCACGTTGGTCGCTGATGATTGCTTGGAATCATTTTATTTTACTCAGGTTCTCTTGTTATATTACATTAGTTATTTAGCAAAGAAATGAGCGTTAGATTAGCAACAGCACCTTTACAAATGAAACGAGTCTGTGGTATTTACGAGGCTGACACTTTGTCGTACTTTGAAGACATGATGTATTTTCCTGAATGCAAAATTGTCCAAATGATAAATATCAAAGCCATTTTTATTTTTGGGGCATCAAAATTGGAAGATTTTGTTCAAGAGAAACATAGATTAGAATTGTTACTCCAGAGTTCAAGTGTGGTGTGGTGTGGTGCCAAAACATACTTGGCGTTGCCTGATTGGATGAAATAACATGAGGTGAGCGCGTGATATCGGCGTGACGTAAACACTTCTAGGCACCAAACAAAAAATCCTTTCATAAACCAGGCGTGGGTGGCAAATATTCCAACAAAGGTTTTTTATTGATTTAAAAAAAAAAGCAGGTTGGGGATATCCGGAGCTCGGAAATGTTGGGCCTTGAAATTATAGAAGAATGCAGTTGCCAAACAACTTGGGGAAAACCAAAATTATTTCAAGCAGAAAATGTGATTGCGAAACATCTGGAAAAACCAAAATTTTTAAGGCATTTTTCACAGACAGGCCAAATAGGCCGCGACAAGCAGACTTACGAACGTTTACACGTTAATTGAAGCTACATGTAATATTAGAACTTAGCAGTACCGTGTCAAAATTAGGGCGTTTCAGTTGTATCCCAGACCTCACAGCAACCAGGAAATTTAAGTACTTCTTTTAGAGGAAATGTTCTGTGCAAAAGAACCATACCAACACACTCCATATAAGCAAACATGTTTGACATAGTTATTGTTAACATATTTCCCCTGAATGAGGGGTACCTTGGAACTTCCGTTGTTACTCTGGGTTTCAGCTATGCAATGATGTACCTGGAATGATTAATGTGGCTCTTAGCACTGAATGAACCCAATAATGCTCTACAAGGCACAACCGAATGCTAAATTTTTTTACTACAAGTCGCCTATCGTTTTAAGTGTGACATTCTATATTGTTGATTAAAACTAAATAGAATGCTGGAGGGTTTTAAAACCAACTTACAATTTGCACAAAATTTGAAATTTGATGCGTAAAAATAATTTTGCAAGATCTGACTTTGGTTTGAAAAATACTGCGCCGTATACGTTATCGTTATACTCGGACAACACATTATGATGGTTTCATTTACGTGCACACCCATTTCATTTCAAAAGAGTAAGTAAATGGACATAAGGGAAAGAGTCACTTGGGTATGCATTAAGAACACAGAATAATGACTGTGACGGTATGGCTTTCAAAATTACTGCACAATCACCTTACCGTGCGTGAAAATGGGTGTTTGCCGAAAAATGACGCACCGCGTCTTTTTTCGGCACTTGCACAAGATACTCCTATCATTGTTAATCGTTGAAATAATTAGGTACCATTGAATGTCTAAACATAGCCAACGTTCAATACCAACAACTGTACTCCAAATCCATGGCCCTTAGACAACGGTCTAACTATAAGGAACGATTTCCTATTTTTCATGTATATGTCCTTTTCAATCCACGCAAGGTTGATTCGGAATTCAGATAGAACGACCTTACTTTGATGAATTTTAAATTTCAAGAATCCTGCGTCTTTCATCGAATGTCTTTTAAATATACAAAGAATGTGAAAATTTCATCATGTTCGGTCTTACCTGCAGTTGTACTATGATACACACGCAAACACAGTTATTTGGGCTCTGGCCAATAGCAAACCTCGTTTGGCTTACATCAAACAGAAATTGCGTAGAGCGGTAGATAGTGTTGGATTGTGTGAAATGTAAATCAGAGGAAGGTAATTGAACATGGCGGACGGCGACGATCCCAAACCCGATGGCAATAAACACGGAAAGGATGGTTCGCATGCTGACGGCAACGATCCATTACGCGATCGAGTATGTATCCGAAGTGAAAGTTTATTCAATTAGATGTAATAATATGCTTAGATGTAATAATATGCTTAGATGTAATAATATGTAGGAAAATTTGTCAGACAGCATCGTCTGAGTACAGTTTCACTTGAAGCTATGAAAGTTTCCAGAAAAGAGGAAAATGGCAGATTCTGTGATGTTGATTTTTCTTCTCTTTTTCGTAATTATGTATCATCGACAGTACCAATGCCCACAATGTCCGTGTCTTCAAATAAATGTGAAATTTACCAAAGTTTACATGGAGAACAGAAATTCAGAAACTCTGTGAATATTTGTTTTGGGAGCAATAACAGCTCTATGCAAAGAAACAAAACAGTGGACTCACTATCACGAATCTTTTGTGCGTAACGAAGAAAGGAATTAAGACGATGATTTTCATATGATCAAGTAAGTGTATAATCGATTTATCTGGGGGGTAGCTGACGACTTTCCACCTTGTAACTAAAGTTATCTTGATCCAGAACAGGAAACGACTGTTTCATATGTTCTTAGTATTGTTTCAAAGGAAAATGCCATAAATGGTAATAAATTAAAGTCATTGTTTGCAGTAAGGTCTTCACCTCAGTCAACCTCATTATGTTAATAACAGACATTCAAGTAACAAGTCTGTTTTGATAGTAAGTTTAAGTTATAAGCATAAGTTGTGGTTTGTTTTTCAGCCAAGCGAGTCATGTTGTGTGATTATGTAAATACTGGCGACGTCTTTTGCATCAAGTCACGTTCTCAGACTGGAAATACTGCATACAATCCCTTTCTTTTGCCACTTGACAATACTTCATCTCGATCAAGCCACGCCGCATTTTCGAATCAACGGATCTCCATCAAAAGTTCAGGTATACTCAATGATATTCTCTAATGGCTTTACATTTAAGTATTTGGGACATTTTGTTCTGCATTCTTTTTATTTCCTCGTTTTGCCTGCCTTTTTTTCTACACATATTTCTTTGTTGAATTGGTTCAACAGTTGGTCGTTGGTAATTTTGCCAGTGATAGTCATAGGTGAACAAGTGGATACAGTTTTGTAATTTTAATTTTGCCACATGAAAGTATATCGCCACAACAATCATACTGCTTGTTCTTAATGTCCTATTTTGGGAATTTCAAATCGTAAATTTAACACAATATAAAGGTAAACACGTGCCAAGCGGTAAGTGTATCGTGCAACATGTAAATCAGGAAAATTAGATACTTGTTTTGTATGAATATGGAATTATGCACCTTTTCACGCTGCGAGGATCTGGACAAATTTAACAAAACGAGGACTACACCCTATGTAAAACTCGGACAAAGGACATGAGTCAAATATCCGCGCCGTTCCACAAATGGAAATGGAAATGATTCCTGAATGATTGGCTTTAAGACTTACAGTCGCTGATTGGCAGCTTAGAGTAATGCCTTCATTCCATAACACGGTGCCTTCAAGTGGAAGCAAATCTTCGGAGATTTAGACAATTAAAATGAAAACAAAAGAAAAAAGAAAGCTGAACTGATTTATTTCTTAAATTGAGTTCTCCAACTACTGCCGACATCTGCATTTAATTGAGAATGGGGTGCCGATAAAGTTACACATCCTTATGAGATTGATAAAAATATTAGGCACACATAAATCCTTATCCTTGAAAAAGTTAACAATTAAAAAGCAACACAATTCTTTGACTGTTATAAAGCATTGTGCAAGGAACCATTGGCATGTAAGAATGAAAATGAAGTGCTTCTTTAAATGTTCACAATAAAAGTTTGAGAAAACAGACTTTGTGCCAATCAATGGTTCTGCAAAGACATAAATATTGTGACATTGAATTCTTGTCACTTAAACCCCTTAAATTAACTGACTAATGTAGAAATTCCTATGCCTCCTTTAAATCTACGCTGACTGAATTTGGATTCTGAAAGGGTAGGTGAGCCAAATTTGCATGCGGTCACGCTGTTGGACCGCTGTTATTGGCTGACAGATTTATCGAGACTCATTGTATAAAAGGCCGTCGCCAGGCAAGACTCAAAATTATGAACGACTTGTGTTTTTGGAAATTATGAGGAGATAAGCCACCGTTTCTCAAACATTATTCCCGTTCGAGGCTCAGATTACTTCCGCACCAGAAAACATCTTAATCCACAAATTAGCAAAAAGAAGACTATAAGTGAGTGATCCTGATCAGATCTTGACTGAACAGAATTTTGAGTAGATGCCGGAAAATGAATGAGAACGAATCTTCACGCAAGCGGCAATCGGCAGCTATCGGGCGGAATGTATCAGTGGATGAACCTGTTCGATCTCGAGTAAGTAATTTGAAAGGTTTCTGTGGAAATCAATAAATTCTCACCGGTTTGCAAATGAAATATTTGTAAGCTGATCATTTAGAAAGATATTTGGTTGGAAATTAAGAAGCACTGTGACTGCGATTAGCCGTTTTGATGCAATGTTTTACAAAATTTGTTGATTTTATTTTGCAAAAAGCATTTCATTATAAAATCTCTTTACTGAGATAAAAACGTTTCTTAATTTGTAACATTTTCATTTCGGTTTTTTAAGGAAATAAATGTTTGTTTTGCCTGAACAAAACCTCTTTGCTGAAGAGCAATATTTTTAAAATGACCGATATTCCTTATTTTTTGGTTCCAGGATTCAGGAGGCTCTAAAGGCTCTTCTTTAATAGCTGGAATATTTGGGGTTGGTGCCTGTATTGGTGTTGCTGCCCTTTTGGGCTGGATTTTGGGAAAGAAGTCTTAGTCATCTCCGCTGTAACTGCAGCTACTATCCAAACGCTTGAATGTGGTCTAAAAGCGGTGGACCTTCCAGCTTTGAACCAGAGAAAAACATTTTCCATTTCAGACAACAGACATTTACTTTGCAACATATGGGGCCCCAAAGAGAGTCAACGACGGCAAACTTTGCGGGTATTTGAGGTAGAATTTATAAATTGTCAAAGGAAAGTGATCAGCTTAAATTCCTCAATGTACTCTAATTCAAGCCACTAAAAAGTACTTTTCATGACTAAATAGAAACGAATAACCGAAGACAGTTTGGTTGTAAAACCTCAAAGAGTTAGGAATGTTGGTTAATACAATAGCTTGAGGTGCCGTGTAACTGTTGGCGTCTTTAATATGAAATGACAACATTCCCACTAAATCCAAATTTCATACAATTTGTTACACCTACTAAAACAACCCTGTTCATACTTTGGGTTAAAACTGTTAAAGGATGTGAGTTCACAATTTTTATGAATGTATGTGCCCTTTGTTTTCATGTAAGTGTTTAAGCGTTAGTATTCCCTTTCAATTTCATTGGTTGTTAGACTACTACGAGTTTATATTCCTTAGAGGCATTTAAAAAAATTTTTGTTTGGCATTAAGATTGGAAGAATCTGGGTGCGTGATATCATTTTCATAACAAGTCGGCGAGGGTGATGTTGGCATGAATAATTCACAAAAGACTTTTTTGTCGTGTTGTAATAATAAGAGACTTTCAATTTTCGAAATCATTGAAATGTGTAAGCCACAAACCAATATTACTGAGAAACAGCATTGCGAGAGCCAAAAATAAGCCTATTGATGGGCAGGTAACTAAAAATGTACGTAAACATGTTTTGAAAAGTTTGACTTGAATATCCAGCTATGGTAGACAGAATAAACCACATGAGGAAAACGTGTACAAATTATTGATACATTTTTAAAACCAAATGAACAGACATGGACATGCAGCCTCTCTTTTCAGATCAGTTAATTCGGTTCCAGAGGAGATATAGTGAAAGGAAATGTGACAAAAAACAGTCTCTAGTTTCCATTCTTTCTTTATCAATTTTTACTTACATAAGTCGATTTGAAACCACGTACCTTATTCAAAACAACTTGGTAGACCTTCTAGTTTATTTACCCTAATAAATTTGTATCATTTTCAAAGGTGATTTCAACTGATTTCACGTTAAATACAATAAAAATTTTATGAAGTAGAACCATACTTATGTACTCCATTGAAAAAGTAAATGCCGAAAATTACGCATAGCCTATTTTTTCGGCACTATGCATGGGTACACTTGGAGTCGTCCTTTGTAAATTGACAAAATAGGGCAGCTGTGTAATGGAATCATATTAAAGCCACCAATCAGACTCACAGCAAGAGATTAAAAATGCTGTGCAATCTCTAACTTGAAGCATTTACATCAATTAATGCAGAATTGAGTGGGTATTTTTTGCTTAAAAATCAATGTCCAGAGTTCAACTAATAACTAAATAACAACTTATTCTAACATTAATGAAATGAGCTTAGTCACAGTATCATTCCTTATCTACACTTTCCACATACTACAAGCGCACATTCCTGAAATATGGAAACATGCCTCCATTATGCCTTATAACAGGTGTATTGCCAAAGAAAAAGTTTGATTTGGGCTTTGTTAAAATCACTGAACATGTATTCCCACTTAACGTCCAGTCACTGTATTAACCTTATTAACAAACATCATTATTAGAAATGACTCTGCTAATGAGCCTATTGACCAATAGCGCCTCGTTTGGCTGACGTCATAGATGCATGATGCAGATGTAGGTATCAGAGTAGTGGTGGGTGTGGCAAACCAAAACCAGAGTAATGTGTAAGGAAAATTCAACATGGCTGACAAAGATGATTAATATCGCGATCGGAAAAATAAGAAAAAGAATGTTCCTTTAATAAGGAAGTGGCAATGATCCACCACAAGAACGAATAAGTATAGGCTTCAGCTTACAATGGTTTTTGAGTAAAAGTATATTTTGTATAAAATAATTCTGGAGTGGTTCTTTCCTTTCTACTGCAAACGTTTTAGTGCCAGCAAAGTGCTTTTGAAATGATTGGTACATTATTATTTCAGTTTTCATGTTAAAAATAGAATTAGACAAAAGACTTTAATGAATTTGTTTACGATAGTTTTGCATGGTGTAACAATATAAAGGACATTTCGAACTTGGAATGGGCTGTCGAGACATATTCGGGGACATTGATCACTGGTGGTAAAAACCTCACGTTAGACGCGATGAGTGCATAAGTAGAACACCTCTCTCAAAAACACAAACAAACTCTAGTTCATTTTATCACTTCAAGATAAAATTCATTATTCTCATCAGCAAGCATACGTTTTGTATTCTGGGTTCCAGGTTGCGGCCGCGAGCAGTCTGTTGTCAATATAGAGGCAAATAGCTGTAAATAGTATTGAGTGCGCTAAGGACACCTGACCACCCCCCCATGGCAAGAATTCCAGACAAAAAAAACACATATCTCGAATATGTGGGTCAACCCTGAAAGTGTTACATGGAACTCAAACTCGCGTTCTGCTACTGCCTCCAAAAATCACTTCGGTATAGCTCCTTGTTGCCGCTACATGAAAATAAACCTGCCGCCCCCCCCCTTCACCACCATTGAATGTCTGGGAGCGACGGGCAACATTGCCTCGATTTAAAATAAATAAACAAATAGTTCATATGAATGCTTTGAATTTGCCCTTAAAGTGTTACGGTAACAAATTCACGTTCAATCTTTACAACACTACGCCAAGCACCCGCTAGTTCGTGGGGGGGGGTTCCAATTCCGACCGTATTTGCCAACGGTAGAAACAATCAGCGTACTTTCTGAAATTCATTATGATAAGTAATTTAGTAACGTAATAAGAACTTCTAGTCAAGGAACCAAATGAAACACACTGTGACTACCACCCATTTGTTCCGATGGGGCTAGTTTTCTGGTTGGCAAGCATGCCATGTTTTTTTAGCCCAGAGGATGCCAAGCATGGCAAGGATTTGGGCAAGCGTGCCCCCATTTTTATGGAAATGTAGGCTATGCGTAAAATTATGATTGAGAAACTAAAATAAAGAAAAAGATTAGCGGTAAATCAGTCTCTTGTTTCAAGTTGTGTTTTGTGTGTTGTCTGAGAATAACTATACATTATAAACTTCAACAAAGTTATGTGATAAGCATTAACAATTACACACAATCCACTCTTGACATCTAAGTCTTTCATTGTCTGAAATGTCGGCAGCAAATATTTCTTAAAACAGGGTAAGTTGATAAAGCGATGGTCAAATAATATTCTCTTTTTTGCTTGATGATAAACACACAGTCTTGGAGGTGCCACTTCTGCATTTCAACATTCTCAACAAAGGGAAGACGCTGGCAACATATGTTAGATGTGCACCTCAGAGGCTATATTGGTAATTAAATTGCCCGGTATAAGACTTATTGTCGGCATTATATGGGACAGGAAAAAAAGAGGGAATATCATACAAGGAAGTTACTGAAGTCAATATTGATACTGGAAATTCAGAAAGTCGGTAGGAATCGAATTTTGCATGAGGAATAATCCTTGAAGAGAGGAAAGAGGAAAGGTCATATTGGCATATTCTTTTGTCGTTTTAATAACACATGCATAAGCGCTGTCTGTTGAAAGAAAATATATCCAGCAAACAGGTAAGTAAATGAATTTAAATCAAACCCTTCTATTCTGAGACAAATGTGGACGCTCTTATTTATCATAACTTCGATCGTTTTTAATACTTTGCGCGCAAAATTCACCAATGGGGCTTGGTCATTTCTCGACGATCCTATCATAATAAAACCATTCAAGATTGCAAACAATTTAACCTCTAACTTCTATCTGAAGAGGAGATTCCATAAATTTTCATGCTATCTTTTAAAGGATACTGCAAGTCGATGTAAAATGCCACTTTCAATGAGGGTAATTATTTCCGCGAAAGTTTCACTGAAGTAAACCTACACGAGCAAAGTAAAAAACCGCCATATTCCCTTTGTTTTTTGCAGCCTAATGAAGCGCGGTCTTGTACTGGCAACCTCTTAGGAAACAGGACACTTTACCAAGATGTCATGACGGATGCATAGGAATGACTGCTCTATAAAATTCAACCAACTAGATGACACTAAACAACGGAATTCCACCTAACGGAACTCAAACTTTCGGCTAAGCTCGGAGGATTTTGTTCTCGAAAGTCTCTGCTATCTCAAAGAGGTCCAATGTCATACAACCAACTGTTAAGATGTTCTGATGAGTTTGTAAGATAGCAATCGTTATTAATCTTAAAAATTCTTTCAACCCCAAAGCAGACTGATGATTTCGCTAAAGGTCTTGGTGTAACTGTAGGCAATGGCATAATGTAACTAGATATATAAACACTGTGACCATGTAAAAGACTTATATGACGTCATGATTCATGTTTTTAACAGATAATATAACCAGTAACAAAAACAATCACTATTTACAGCGCATTAGGTTCAGATTTCAAACTGCAAAATAAATGCCATTTTAACACAATAGAAAATCTTTAAAACATAAGATGTAGTAACAAAATCTTCTCTTCAAATGAAAAAACCCAACAATTGTGAGATAAATGTCAGAATCTGATCCGGTTTGATACTGAGCAGGGCCCGTATTAACCATGATGGCTATCTATCTATATGATAGAAGGCCTACTTTATACTCACCTTCATTTAACTGACTCCAATATTCCGTACCAATGGAAGTTTGACAAACTTTCACATGTCCTCATTGATCTTGTTATGCGTATTTATAGCCTTTCACCTCTGTCAACGCAACTGTTGAAGTGTTCTGTCTGCCCCAGGGTGTAGAATTTGCAACAGATCGAATGCATTTGTTTAAATCTTAACGTGTGTTCGTGGTTTCACGGTAAATGGTTTAATTGATTGTTTGCTTTACCTAAATTTAATTAAAAACATAAGGATGATGGCTAGGAAACATTGATATAATTGTATAATTTCATCCTTCTCAACTGAATTCATTTCACCTCCTCTTTCTTTAATGGGGGATTTGATATTGAAACATTACACCAAAACGCTAAAGCAAAAAAGCTTTTTTTAATCTGCAGTCTTCACAACTTGCAGGCAAAGTGAATAACTGAATGATGAAAACTGAGTTTGACTAATGATATGTCAGCATTTGAAGAGTTTCATTGCTGAAAGCAATATATCCATTTTATTAATTTTGAGATGATGCATGAATATTGTCTGCTAAAATAAAGAGAATAATAAGAAAATATGATATACAATTTATCATATCTTCAAAAATACATATCGGACTTTGGCAGACAAGGTGTCAATTATCAGATATTTTTATGAACAAAATGTTGGTCATCTTAATTAACTCATATTTTAGAAAAATGATAGATATAGCGGTGTTTTTCCATGAAATTCTTCATTGATTTTTTAAAAGTATGCAGTGCTTTGTAGCCTATGTACACAGGCACACTTAGGAGAGAAGCAAACTAACACTTCTGGGAAAAAGGTAGCGCTGGTCTATATACAATTTACGTGTGAGTGCTTCAACATACTTGTCCTAGTGATATAGCATAATTGTTTATTGTTATTTTAGAAGCTCAGTAGACTGGAGTGAATGACATACATGCGTAGTTACTATCCTTCGAGTGATATAAAAATAATAGAGAAGTCACATGTTTCTACAAAACTGAGCATGGTAAAACATTCCAGGGTAGATCAGTTTGAGAGAGTTTAAAACCGAATAAACTGGCACAACGATGTTTCGGCTGATTAGTGACTAATTGCGATGACTAATTTCCATGGCTAATAAAGTATGGTTTGCACCATCTCTTTTGGCAAAAGTTTTTTGAATCACCGATAATTGTAATTTGACGCAGTGAACATTTTACGAAAATGAAAAGACGTGATGCATGTATGCGTCATTTTTCGGCATGTTGGTCGCTGATGATTGCTTTGAATCATTTTATTCCATTCACGTTCTCTTTGTTTTACTACTTTGGTCATTTAGCAAAGAAACGAGCATTAGATTAGCAATAGCACCTTTTACGAATGAAACTTTTATTGGTATTTTACAAGGCTAACATTTGGTAGTACTTTGAAGACATGATGTATATTCCTTAATCCAAAATTGTCCAAATGATAAATATCAAAGCCGTTTTGTATTTAATCGGAAGATTTTGGTGAAGAGAAACATGGATTAGAGTTTTACTCCAAAGTTCAAGTGTGGTGTGGTGTGGTGCCAAAACATACTTGGCGTTGTCTGATTGGATGAAATGACATGAGGTGAGCGCGTGATATCAGCCTGATGTAAGCACTTCTAGACACCGAACAAAAAATCCTTTCATAAATCAGGCGTGGGTGGCAAAAGCGCAAATATTCCAACAAAGGTTTTTTGTCGATTTGAAAAAAGTATCAGGGTGGGGATATCCGGAGCACAGAAATGTTGGGCCTTGAAATTATAGAAATTGCCAAACAACTGGGGGAAAACCAAAATTCTTTCAAACAGAAAATGTGATTGCGAAACATCTGGAAAAACCAAAAATTTTAAAGCATTTTTCACAGACAGGTAAAATAAACCACGATTCGTTCTCTGGTGAATGGATAACGACAGCCAAGTCATGACAGAAAGGGAAGAATAAATTACTAGATTGAAAAATTCTTTATTCATGAAGAAAAACCTTAAACATATCTAAAATGTATATCTTTTTGGTGAAACCTATGCCAACATAATCAAAAACAAGTCTTAATGCTATGCTCTTTTTAAAATTGAACGGTTTGAAGAAGTAAATTGCCAGACTTTTTCTCAACGTCAAAGAAATGAGTCTTTTAAACATTCCTGTCTGTCGGAATAAACTTCTCAGCGACTGTCAAATTCTTTCTCAAGAATTTCAAAATGTATTGGTGTTTTAAGGCTTAAAGGGGTGACCAAAATTACCCTGGGTTTTGGGCAACATTTGTCATGTTTTGTTTTTGGTCTTCATCAAACGGGGCATGAAAATCAAAATAATAATGGTTACCATGGTTACCACAAACAACGAAAGTGTTAAATAATGAATAACTATGATATTTCTGAACAAAATGATACTAAATACGTCCGCATCCACTATACGTTTGAGAGAATAAGAACGTTTCAAAGCCTCGAGTGGTTACTGACCAAAGTTACCCCATGTTACGGTTCTCGGACAAACACAATATGATGGATTAATGCATGTGCACAGACAATTCATTTCAAAAGAGTAAGAAAACACACTGAGTGCAAAAGGTCACATGGTTGAGGATTAAGAGCACAGACGAATGATTGTGACGGTACGTCCTTCAAAACTATTTTACAGTCACCGCATGTACATGAAAATGGATGATTGCCGAAAAATGACGCACCACGTCTTTTTCGGCACTTGGCCAAGGGGCTGCTAATATCGTAAATAATTGCCATTATTAGATACCAGTGAATGTCAAAACATAGCAATTGTTCAATGAGATCGATTTAATTTTGATTTTTCGGCTTTCACGCGATTCTCAGTATGAGGAACGCAATAAAATTGCTTGTCATTTCATGTACTCATCCTCGTCAATCTTTGAAAGGTTGATGAGTTACTTAAACGGAGAAACAATAATTTGATGACTTTTTGCCAAAGTCTGTCAAAAATTGTGTAATTAAGTTCAAATTCTAAATATCTATAGTATGAATTATTGAGATTTTCAAACTGTTAGGAGATGAAATCAAAGTAAGTTTGTGATTAACAATAATCTAAAGTTCTTAAAGACAAAGTCAACAAAGCCGTATTGTCACTAAATCGTAATCATGCTTACAAGCATGTCATTCACCGCATGGACCAAAAAAGAATGAAAAATGTCCAAACAACACAGGTATCCGCGAGGACTTGCCCCAGTCCCCATGATTCTTTGTCTGAAAACGGATCAAGAGTCTTGTAACCGTTAGGGTAACCTATTGCAAAGGAGATTAACAATTAGGGAAACCAACAAAAAGCCAGCTTAAAAGGTCATCAAAGATCATGAATAATGACTATTTCACTAATATATCTCAAAGACACGAATAATTGAGTACGATAGTCTCTTGGTCTTTCTTTGTTTGATATTAAGGGAATTATTAAGTACAGTTTGTCATCGTCACTCGTCTATTGGTTAATAGCCGTTCCTTTTCGGCTGACGTCAAACACCACATGTATGGAACGGTGAGCCGTGTTGGCTCACATAGTAAAATCAGAGTAGTGTGAAACATAAGTTTGAACATGGCGGACGAATCATCACGACACAGCAGAAACATGTCGACACCAGCTACAAACCCTGCTATCAATGATCTATTTCGTGATCGAGTAAGTATTGGCAGTGGCATTTAGTCATCTCGATGCTATTGAATTTTATTCTTCTGGAGTGTTTGGATGCAGTTTTAATACTCAACTAAAGTCTAAGGTTTTAGTTGAGTGTTGAAACATTCAGTGTAGCCTTAGATGAAGTAAAACCAAACCAAAGAAAGAAGAAGTAAGCCCCCACGACCATAATTAATCATAATAAAGTCGGGGGTCGCGGAAAAGCTATTTAGGTCCGTCCCGAACTACTGTAGTGCCAAAATAAATTTGAACATTAAAAAAAGACGACTGAAATAAATGACAATAAACTGAAAAAAAGACAAAAGTAATCTAAAAAGAATAAACAAATATCAGAATGAAGATGGACAAATACAAAGACAAAACAGCAAAATAGGAATATTAAAACCAACTAAACTATGAGATATTATGAAGATTAAAAACAAAGAAGGAACTTGCTAGATTGAGCTTTATAAGTCAGTAAGGTAACAAAAAAGATAAACGATTATATCGCACACTAACAACAATTAAAAAGACAAATAAAAGTACAATGAACTAATCATAAAGGTAAGAAGGGAGCTTTCGCACACATTTAGAGACGCATTTGGATCACATTTTAGTATTCCTGGACCACTCCTTTGCCGTACCATCCAAGAAGAGATACTTAAAAAAATCAGCTGGAGCAAAGGAATTAAAGATCGGGACTCATCACTTCGCTCAATTTTCGTATCTGGATGAAACTTTTTAAGGGGATTAGTATCAATATAGTACTTTTGAACAATAAAACACAAAAATGAACGAAATAACTTTCCTCTAGTTTGGAGATCAGTCCAGCCTTAATCACTGAGTAGAGTGTTATAACTTCTTAGCCCATCTCTGCTGATAAACCTAATACGCTGATCTTGCACACACTTTACAACAGAAGGATGGTTTTGTGTAGGCGTACTCGAGTCCCAGGGTATGCAACTGTAGTCGAGTCGCGATCAGATAAAAGAAATGTACATATACTTAACGTAAATGTCATGCTAGTGATCACTCCAGTTTAAATTATGCAAGGATCACTATTAAATAAGACATCCAGATTGTTACTGCAACTGTAATTCTTGAGGTACATTTTGAGTTGTGTTACCACGTAAAGCGTTAAAAAGTGCCATCTACGACTGACAAAACAAACCAGAACGCACTATTCAGAGACATCATTGGGACCTTGGCCACTGATTGTAGAAAAATTCACGTTACACGTTATGGTGCGTAATCAAAACACTCCTGAACGTGCATTCCAATTAAATTATCACGGAATTTTGAATCCAACAAACTTGGTACATAAGTACGAATACCTGTTTTTAGGTCAGATGACATTTAAAGTGATTCGGATCGCATGGCGAATAAAACTAATCACTATCTTAATAAAATAAGATTAAGTTTAGAAGATTTTGCAAAGTAATCACTTTGTCGTTGTATTTAAAAATTTATTGAATTTATCGAACAATGTTACAAAGTGTTATTGAAGTCAACATGGATACGGTAAATTTCAAGATTTTGAAGTGATTCGTGTTGTAAAAGCTGCTGTTTGCCAGACAGAAGCAACCAAACGATAAACTACGGTGCCAAACCAGCTATGTATCAAAAATTTATCATTTGATTGAAGTTAAAACAGGGGATTCCGACATCCATCCTGGGTCCATACTGACCGTTTAGAAAAATCTACACAAGACAAGATGGTGTTTAAACAACGTACTGAACAAGAATCCTTATTATTATAATAATTCCATAAAATTGTTTTGTTACGTTTCGATTCCAAAACACGTCATATTGCAAACTACAATTTCATTTATGAAATTAATAAATACTTAGTTTGAATTAATTTTCCCCTCTGCACAAATTTCAGGAACAAGAAAGGAGGGAACAATGGGCACATGAACAGCGTGAGTCAAGTCCCACATTTCGCTTACATGGGGAATCCACACATGGCAGTCAGGTAAATCAATCACAGCGCACATGATGAGGATAATTAGAAATTTGTTACAGAATATCAACAACATAACAAAACAGTTATATTTCATATAGAAGCTACACATTTTGAGGAACGGTTTGCTGAGGTTGGGTAGTAAAGGGCACGGTATATTATACAGCAGAAGTATCAATGAGCCCTTTCGCCACGTTACAAAATAACTGCAAGTTTGTATGGAACATAATAAGTCTGTTTAACATTTGCCTTTTGTTTTGTTGTTTTTCCAGTCTGGAGGGGGATGTTGTCAAATTGCATGAATGACGGCAACTTCTTGAGCAAAAGGCACTCTCCAAGGCCGAAGTTACTATGGATAAACAACCTTCTATATGATAGAAGGCCTACTTCATACTCATCTTCATTTAAGTGACTCGAATATTCCGTACCAATGGAAGTCTGACAAACTTTCACATGTCCTCATTGATCTTGTTATTTGTATTTATAGCCCTTCACCTCTGACAACGCAACTGTTGAGGTGTTCTCTCTGCCCCAGGGTGTAGAATTTGCTACAGATCGAATGCATTTGTTTAAATCTCAACGTGTGTTGGTGGTTTCACTGTAAAATGGTTTTATTGATTGTTTGCTTCACAAAAGTATAATGAAAACATAAGGATGATAGCTAGGAAACATCAATACAATTATATAATTTTAGCCTTTTCAAAAGAAGCCATTTCGCTGCCTCTTTGCTACTGATTTTTGAGAAAACGGATCATTGTCATAAAGAGAATAATTTTGATGTATAATTGATCATAAATCCAAAACCACTCATCGGAATTCGACAGACAAGGTGTCAATTAGCAGGTGTCTTATGAACAATATGTCGATCATCTCAGCTCATTTAAAAAATGATAGATGTAGCGTTTACCATGAAACCATTCAATTGATTTTTTTTTAAGTATGTAGCTCTTTGTAGCCTTGAGCACTGGCAAGTTTGGGAGAGAATCAAACCAGTACTTCTAGAGAAAGGCAGTGCTGGTCTGTGTACAATTCACGTGTGAGTGCTTTAACATACTTATCCTAGTGATATAGCACAATCGTTTATTGTTAGTTATTTTAGAAGCTCAGTAGACTGGAATGACATACATGCGTAGTTACTACCCTTCGAGTGATATCAAGATAATACCGAAATTACATCTTCCAATAAAATTGGGCATTGATACTCGGCCATGGTGAAGGATTTCACGGTAGATCAGTTTACTAGATTTTAAAACTGAATAAAATGGCACAAAGCGATGATTTGGCTGACTGTACTCTCTCCAGGGCATTGCTTTTTTGGGCCCCGAAGTTCGAATCTAAACTTGAAGAATCTGGCTCAGGAAACACGGTTAGTGCACGCAAAATTGCTGTTCTAAGGTTCAGGCTCGGGGTCACTTAACGGGTCTCTGGTTGGATGAACTGCCACGAGGTCAGCGCGTGATCTTAGCGTGATGCCAACGATCAAGCAGTTCTGATCACAGATCGGGCGTAGTGCAGAAGAAAAGGACACTAGTGCAAAAGGCACTGGATCTTTATTTCCACACTCAGGTGGTTTCAAAAGAGAAGGGCGATAACACCTTTGCGTGCGAAAGAACCCACCGTCATTTTCCATTTCTGCTTCAATATTCTTTGCCCCTTTTCCGTCAATTTTAGGGACAATCGGGATCAAGCACCGAATCAATTTCATTTAGAGAAAAATGAGAGGAGAGTTATTTTTTTCATTTCCCTTCTTTCAAAAACGTGTAACATTTAAAAAGCCCCCAAATGGAAGAGTCACTATTCAAAAAAGCCATAGGATTCCAAACTTTTGACAACCAAGACACGTTTGCCCGTAAACAAATTTGTCCCTGGAGCCGTGGAGGGGGGGGGGACTTTAGCTTAAAATAAAGAGAATCTGGCTTACCGCATAAGATATCTTCTGGATATAGCTCACTGGGTTTTCTTCGCCTAAAGTTACGTGCCATGAAGCATGGATAAAATACCATGCTCAACTGCAGCTCGATTAAAATCGACAGTTAAAAGACACATCTTATCTTGAAGTCATTGGAAAATTGGAAAATTTTAAAAAGGATAAAGAAAATTCCAAAAAAGGTTACGACAAGTTTGCCTTGAAGTTGGATAACAACTAACAATTGTCAACGCTGGCAGAAATGTTATTTTATGGATTGCACGACTATAAACACTTCTAATGACCCATTCAAGCACCGCTTTCTGAAAAAATTAGGCTTTTGAAGTTATAGGTATGCGTTATCTTGATCCAATCACGCACTACACATAAATCGAGAAAATCATTTATTAGCAGGTTACAAGAAATAAATTTTTTGAGTCAACCTGACACCTGGAAGTGCCCTTTCTGTCCAGACAAGCGAAGGAAAGTCGGTGGAAACACATCTAATAAGAATATCTCGCATGGTATCGAGGTGAATGTATTTAACATCAGATTTAAATATTTTTTTTGCAAAATGAAAGCGAATCGCGTAAATGTCTCAAAGGGAGCTGCGTAAGTCAACTGCAGCGTGTTGAATGGTATACCAGTGTTTGGGCTTGAAGGACAAATGCAAGTAAGGCTATACAACGGAACTTGATGCTCTGTAACTTTGAGTGATTCACATATAAATACCGACAGCAACCAAACAACGTATAGTAATTTTTGTAAAATCACGTTTTTTTGCCAAAGGGTCAGTGTTCTCATTCATTTTACCTTTAATTAATTTTGGAATATTTTGAGCACAACTTGTCATAAAATGTCTCAGATCATTGGTCATTTTTCAGTGATCATATTGCTGTACATGCATTCTTTGTTCCAGCCTGATAGCCAGTGTTGTTCGATTTCAATGGACCGGCAACCTTCCACAAGGAATTTATAAATCAACTGGATAAACATCCCTACAACTCTCAATCAACAGAACTCTCATAACCAAAATCCTCAATGATCTGGTTACCTGTGACCTCGCTTTCTAGCACGCTAATTTGTCACATGTGACTGTGGAGGTGTTGTGTTTTAATTTTAGCTTTGTAAAAGTTGAGCTAGTAATATCTTCAATAAAAAGAAATTGCTTGTATATCTTGCATTAAATTGTTGTGATTTTAACATGTAAAATGCAGGTTTTTTTTTACAAAATTGCATAAAGAGAACATTTTCAACAATATGAAAACTTAACGTTGGACAGTCATTTCATATTACTAATCAGAATCTGATCTCCTTTAGTAAAGAAGAAACTGTATCCCTGTTGGCTTCAGTGACATTTTTAACATTTTAGAAAAGCTTGCTCAAAATGAAAATGTCTGATTGTTTCCATTCACAACTGTGATCTCGATCAAGTCCAGCCGCAGTTTCTAACCAACAAATCTCAGTCAAACTTTTCAATATACTCAATAATATTCAGGTTTATAAGGTTTCAGGTTTATTTCCATACTATAGAAGTTAACAAAACTCAATTTATAATAGTATGGAGGAGGTCAGACAAAAAGTAGAAGCTTGAACTGGGTCTGCCCCTTGAAGGAGAACACCTGTAACTTATACAATTCTTGGGCTGAAAACATTAATAATGCAGAAGTTTGAAGGTCTTCTTCACTTAGGTTTAATAAATTAATATGTTGAGAATAACCATCCTAATTCTTAGTTTACAACTCTAGTTACAACTTTGTCTGACGTAATTGCAGAAATATTGTGTCCTTAATTGTCATTTCATTGTAGCTCTAAATGCAGTCTTTGGGGGAATTCTGTTCTTGCAGCTTCTACATTCCTTTCAACCTTCATTATATAGTGACTGTCATTCGGATGGGTATAAATACTGGGGATGGGCACAGGCGTAACGAAGGCATTTTCCATGGGGGGGGTGTCAGAGTCAATTTGCAACTACTTCGCTAACTTCTAGTCGTTTAAAATTCACCAAGTACGAAAAATGAAAATCAGCGGTAGGCTACATTTCATGCTTCAGAGGATATGCCGACGGCCAACGTATATCGTTTATGTACGATAATTTTACGTAATACGTAATTTTGGACTCATTTGTCAACCGAAGCACTATTTGCCGACTGGAGGGAAGTGCACCGCACCCCTACACCTCTGTCTCTAGGCCCTTGAGGAAGGGGGATATATCCCCCACTTTGAAATGTAAAGTCAAAGTATAAAGAAAAGAATAAATCACATCAAGAAAACATGTGTAAACATTTCTGACTGAGTTTTCAACCACATTGAAAGAAATTCAGTCCCCCCAGCTTTAGACGGTTCCAAATGATACGAAATTAGAGGAGTTTTTATGATAAAAGTAACTCCAATTTCTAAGGAAGATATCCCTTGAACGTACCCTTTTGCAATTACGGATTTGACTTTTTTGAGGTTTTTATTGTTTTGTCTATTTTCAAGAAAGTATCAGCCACAATCAAAATTTAAAAATGCCCCAAAGAAACCAAACCCTGGATGAAAGTAAGGTTATTAAGGTTTCCACAGGAATTCTAGAAAGCAGTCAGCAACAATTCAAATCTAGTAACACTATGCATATGGAAATCTGTGTAACAACAAATTTATATAGTAGTTATGTCTGATTACTGAACTTCGAGGCGACCAGGCACATTAACATTTCAACAGGTCAGGGTAGTGAGACTATTGGCCAATGTCGGGCCACGTTTAGCTGACGTCATAGGTTGCATGATGCATGATGTAGATGGAGATATAAAATAATTCGATTTGCTGGTTTACTGAGAATCGGAGTAATGTGCTGGGCGAAGTCAACATGGCTGGCAGAAATATTCCTCCTCTGCAGCCAAACGTGTCACGAGTAAGTAACGGCTACAGATTTCAATAAGCTTGTTTTATATCTTGTTGGCTCAAATATGGAAAGCTCCTTTATTCTAGTTTCATTTCAGTCCCAAAAAAGTTTGCCAGAGTTCGATATCTATTGCCTCTAGTGAGGATTTAGACTTTTTATTTATGTGATTGTTTTGCATGGTTTAACGATGCAAAGCGTTGGAGGTGCCATTTTTGTAGGGCGACATTTCGAACTTGGAATGGATTATTTCGACATCTTCAAGACCGTGGTCACTGGTTGTAAAAAGCTCACGTTAGTTGCGATGGTGCGTAAGTAGAAGCCCTCGCAGAACCTGCATCTAGATTAAAAATCATCATGTTATTTGAAATGCCCTGACTTTAAAACGCAAAATTCCATGAAATATAAAACAGGTCTTATGTGTTCAGAAATTATTACAATTCAGAAGTGAATGAAAAGTGTGGTTTACGTCTATTATAATGCAGCTTGATGCAAAGCAATAAACGTTCTGATATTCTCAAATACTCTCTTTGAAACGATTGTCATTCATGAAGGTAGGAAACCCGTATCTTATTTTAGGCACTGATTCGAGCATGCCAGCACTTTGAACTTCTAGTAATTTTTATGAAATGTTTGGGCAGTATTAGATAAAAATAAAGACAAATAACAAACTTCTAAGGTATTTATTTTTGTTTGCATGCATGATTTTATCATGACTTACAGCCTTGGAAGTGTCCCTTGTGTTCTGAGGCATATCCTACAGAAATTGCACGCAATCGACACTTACTTGAGAGACATGCAAAGGTAAATCAGAAAAGGTTGTTTCAAAATGTGCTAACAGATTTGCCAAAAGTTGAATTACGTTAATCATTGCAGAGAGTACAACCTATAAATGGAAGTTGAGCACTTAATGCAACTGGAATTTGTAAAACTTTGCGGGGATTGGGTTTTGGACAACTTTTGCCTGAAAGTGCCTGAGTTATCCGCTATGTAGTGCCCCCATAATAATATTCGTCAGTTAATTGCACTTGTACCAGGCCATTTACAAATGCAAACGCTAGGTGCCATGTGTATAAAATACACATTGCCGGCCAGGTTTTTTACAGATCTTATATATTAATAATCCTGTTTATTTCAGGTTTTATATCTATCTATAAAAAGCAATTGATGGATAAAGACTAGAGTGATCTGCTTCAAGTGTTACGTTGATTGGAAGAAGTCATAAACATTACTGCTCATATTCACAATCACTTGCTTCAAAGAAAGATCTTGAATTCTAAAGATAACGAAATGTACACTATGCGTTAAAATGATCACAAAGCAGCAATAAGCTGGCATATTACTAAAAGTGACAATCTTTAACCATGATGCTTCCTTTTTGCATGACGTTGTTATGTCGCATAGCCACGGGACTGTCCTTGGTGTCCATTTGAAGATGCGTTTTCAGATGAGGACTCACTTCTTCGACACATGCGGAGCATGTGTCGAAGATACGGAACATGTCGAAGATGCGGAACATCGTGAGGTGATTAATAACGCAAAATTGAAACGTCAAATCTAAAAATAAGGCCCTTTTTATCAATTCTAAAACTTGAGGTTGGACAACACAGTTAAATTAAACAGGTTAAATAACAGACACCTGCAATTTCTTGATAATTTGAAAGAAATCCGAACTCGTTTAATATACTATAGAATGAGCTCAATACTAGTCCTATTAGCTCAGTGGAGAATTTTAACAATTCGCACCTGAAACGCAGACTTCTGGCTGTTAAGTTTAGTGACGAGGACATGTTTTTTGGAGAATCATTCACGGAGGGGAACTTATTAAAAACTAGCAAACATATTCCTGTTTTTGGTTTCCAAGTGAAATTATATTATGGTTGCATATCAGTAGCTTAGGAAAGCATCTAAAATTCAATTCGGTTGCATAATAATTTGAACAAATGATATATGGCCAAAAGTCGGAATTTTTTTACTTTGATTTCATAAAGGTCTTTTGTAATGAACTATTTGTATTCAGCTGTTGTCAAAAACTATTTGTACGGCTACGACAATGTATCTATGTTAGTGCTTATGAAATAAAAGAAGTTTCGAAAAATGCAATATAGTTAATCTTTTGAATGATATGTATATATATATATAAATTGGGCAACACTGATGAAAGTATACTGGCAATTGGTTGTTGCTTTCAAGGTATAAAATAATTTCGTAGTGTCTTTAAATGTGTCTTTGTTTAAAAACGAACTTATTGGAATTTCAACTAATACTCTACAAACAAATCTACAATTAATTTTAGGTTTGGTGATTGAATCACTGCATTACAGACAACATCTATTGGAATTGGTCAAGGCAATGTGACTGTTGGCCAATAGTAGGCCTCGTTTACCTGACGTCATAGATGCATGGTGTAGATGTAGATATAGATGCAAGCGTAAAATAGTGGGTTGTGGTGGCTTACCGGAACCGGAGTAATGTGTATGGTGATTCAACATGGCTGACGGAAATGATTATGGTCGCGATAGAAGTTGGCAAAATTTTGGTCCGTATGGAAATCGCATTGATACAATACGCGAACGAGTAAGTTTCTGCTACACTTTTGATGATCTTACTTCAAACGTATACTGCGTATGTTTTTACATCAACTTATTCCTTGTGCGGAAAGATGGAAGAAATATCATATCTGCACTTCTCATTAAATAGTTAAGTGGAATTGAATGTTTGTGACAACATTGAAAGCATGAATTTTGTCTCTTTTTTGCTTTATGATGTTTTGCGGTACAGCATTGGAAGTGCCACTTGTGTCCATCAACATTTCCTACAATGGAACGTCGTGATGAGCACATAAAACACATCCACGCAAGGGTAAATCAAAAAGACTTTATAAAAATTTAATAGCGGTGGTACATAATATGATGGGAAGAAAACTGTATTTGCAGAGATTACAAGATGACGAATCAAAACACCTCACTGGAAGTACAACGATCGACATTACTTATTAACTTGACTGAAACATTATTCAACCAAATAAAAGTTTTGTAAAGATAAAATTCTATGAAAAACATCGTTACTAAAGCAGCAAAAACGAATGCAGAAAATTTGTGAACAATAAGTAACGAATTATTTCTACTGGAATGTTTTCTTTTTTGCATGGTCATTTTTGATGTGAAGCCATGGGACTGTCCTTTGTGTTCATTGGTTTGTCCAAATGAGGATTCACTCCGTCAGCATATGCTGGGCCAACATCATATATTGGTAATAATATTTGAAGCACAATTTTATTTTAAAATGTATCTGATAGTGTAAAGAAAAACGGAAGTTAAAGTTAAGAGAACGTCACAAAAAGGTTCCGTATCCACGTTGACATACCGATATTGCAATGTTTTGCGTGAGATTTAGAGGAGGGGCGCTTGCCTGAAAAGGACAATATAAACCATTTTACTGCACAACACATCTTGAGAGTCGTACACACACGGTTCACCCAACCTGATGTGTCTGTTATGGAGCAAGGTTGAAACACCTCGATTGGTAGTATTTTAGTTACGGTTGTTAAGGCTTAGTGTATTCTAAAGTACTATGAATTTGAGGAGATTTAAGAAGGGGTGAGGAAAATACAAGAAGATTCATATATATATATTTCAAAAGTAGAAAGTAAAAGGGCTTTGTCTGTTATGTGTGCAACAAAAATTGTGAAATCCTATGACTGACATCCTTCCTTGTCCTCTGAAAATGGTTAACGTATGTTTCGATTACGCCATTAATATCAATCCACTGACCCCAGTTTAAAATGTTAAAATAAATAAATAAAGATCGATTATGTGTGTGACATAAGACAGAAATTGTTTTTTATATCAAAAATTATTTTCTAAAAGCTCCTTTAAACCGAGGTCAGTGGATTAATATTAATGGTATAATAGAAATAAACACGTACATTAGCCATTTGTAGAGACCAAGAAAGGATATCAATCACAGGATTTCCCAATTCTGTGTCAGACAAAGCGATAGGAGGTATAAACACCTATTATGACTTTTTTGAGGTATGCACTCTTGATACTGGGAAATTTTAACGGAAAGGTAGAAAGAAATGTTCTAATTATTGAAGTCAACTTTCGCCCCTTTTTCTTTGATATTTGAGATACAGTGGTCCTGGTCGAAGTGCCCTTTCTGTCCCTCCGAATTTCCAACATACGGAGATCGCTGGCAGCACATGCTACAAAAACACCTTAGATGGTATCAAGGTAAATAAATATGAACTCAAATTTACATTTTTTAAATGAATAAATGCGAATCAAAGGGGAAACAACAAACGATTATACAAACCAATTATAGTTGTATTCAGAAATGATGAACTTGAGAGGCATAAGAGGAAAGTGATCTTGTAAATAAACAGTCACAAATCAACTAATGAAAGAGTGTGAAATCCTGTTGTGGCAAATTTATTAATGCCCTTTGTCATAGATTTGATTAATCAAGAATATTTTGCGTTACGTTGTGTTAAATCTAATGGCCTTTTCTCGATGATAACGCAGCAATTGTTCCATTCAAGATTGCTTTGGGAAATTAATGCATCGTGCATGTGAAATCTCTGCAATGAGCCAGTACGGTATTCCAACAGCGCATGCTCAGTCCGATGATATTCAGGAACTGCTACGCGTGCGTGTGATAGGCTGTCCTATCAGGGCAGCCATACCCTGACACGCGCGCGTGCTCTGTTCCCGAAAGACCTTGGCTTTTTGACATACCGAACTAGTTCGTTATTACAGATTAAGCAGTCGTGTAGACCTTTCCATCATGCTGAAAAATAAACGTCGAAATAAGCTACAGATTAACCCGGAAGAACAACTTAATTAACAGACAAAAGCCTGCATCTTCGTTCCAGCCTGATTGGCAATATCTGATCCTGTGAGTTCCTGTGACTACATGAGAAGCGGAAAACTGTGCTGGATTTTGAAAACGGACAAGTAACCTTCTATACAAAGGAGTGACTACTTCACAAAATGTCAGTTAGATGAAACCAAAACAAGGCTCAAACCGAAGTCTCACAAACTTTTCAATATCCTCAACGGTCCGGTTACCTCTAGCCTTTGTTCTGTATTACGCCCATTTCTTTTATGCAACCGTTGAGTTTTTTGGGATACAGTAGGAAAATGAATGGAGATTGCACATGTAAATTATTCTTTTAAATCCCGGGTTGGTGATTGATGATTACTGCTATTGGTAGGCTATTCGTATATGGCTTTGGACGAATCAATTAAACACGATTTAGGTATGGCTTTGAAAATAATCATAACACCAGTAATAATGGCCCTGCTTATTTACAATGTATTAATTGGAATTTAAGGCTATTCAGCTATTTGAAGCTGAAGGTTTAGCAACACAAACTGAACATTTAAATGATAAAATTCAATCTCATAATACAAAGAATGAGCCCAGTAGTAGCCCTGTCACGCTCCGAAACCAATTAGAAAAGTTCAATGGAAAAATGCACAGTACTAGTTGTTATAATGCGCGAGTGATGTCTATGGAATGTCATGCGTTGAAGAGAATTTAAGAATAGTAGAAAGTTATTTGAGTTTGTAGATTTCGAGTGAAAAAATAAAATTATCTTTAACTACAAATTTAAAATAGCATCCAATAATCAATTGGTTACAGTAGTACAAGAGTAATTACTTTAGCACTGTAAGTTTCTTTTCTGATAATCAACATAAGAACAGGTACTAGCATTCCGCTAGTGTCAAACATTTGTATGCATGGTGAGCTAGCACTGCTGAAAATTGGTTATAAACGACATGTTTCCTTTTGAAACTAAATTACCTGCAGTTTCATTGCAATGACAATTGCATCTATTTTCTTGCTTAATTCAACTCAGCTGAACTCACTAACATGAATGTGAATTAAAGTCATTCCAAGAATGGACACGATTTTTTGTACAACGATTTCTCCCCACGCGATAGTTAAGTGACAATTCATTACATTTGGAAATTTTAAATGTACCTTGTAGCATTGGAAGATTTCGTAACATCATCGGAAATTCCGACAAAGAAATGAATAAAACAGCGGTGCAAAGACTGCAGTCTCTCATATTAATGCTGTCGTCACTTGGTATTCCCCAGTATAAGCGTGTCATGAGCATCCCAACGCGTGGTAGGACTACTCCCATTGGCTGGCATTTTTTTACTACGACACGTCATACAAAATGTCCCAAGTCGTTGGGTGAATCCCAAGCTATAAAATGGCAGCGTTGTTGTTGAGCCCTTAAATGAGAGATTGCATCCTTTCTTCTCACGTGATAAACTTTCCAAGAGCTTGATTGAAAAAAGAACTGAATAGCGTTCAACAACATCGTCTGGATTAGAGACTGAGTCACGAGACTTGTTAAAGCCCTTGGCAGGAAATCCTGAGACGACAAGATGGGATGGAATGATCCAGAACGTGGGTGGGTTAACCATTCGACGTGGCCGAATTCATCAACGAATGACCCAAAACGGTATCGTGTAAGTGTAAATCTTCGAATTGTTATTGTCTTACTCTTGCAATATCCTAATTTTCATTGAAGTTATCTGTATAAAACACTGAGTTTGGGCATCTGAAATGATTAGCCTAAATGCTAATCGATAGCTGATATTCGTTAGCACGCCAAATCAACATTGACAATTGTGTGAAATTTGAGGACAGGTTTGTCCTTTAAACCCGAAAATTTAGAAAAAAATTCTGTGTCTTCAAGCTGCCTGTGCTGATTAAATTTGACGGAAAAGATACGTAAACCATAAAAGTTAATTATATTCATATGTAAATTTCCTTACCATTCAGTGTTTTCATTTCGACCTTCCCAAAGGATTACAAATCCTCGAAGGAGGTTAGTTTTCAGAGAAGCATTACTGAAAAGGAATTTCTCTTTGTTTCTACTTTAGGATTCCGAATGTTGCGGCTGTTCAGGCACTTGCTGTTGTGTCATTGCTACTATCATCACTGTAGCAGTGGGAACAGGCGTGGTGCTTCTGCGGAAATTCGCGTTCCATCTTTTCTAGGCTCTCTACTGTGACTACCGCCACCGTATTCCTGGTAGGATCTGACGGGGCGCCACAAGCCTGAACCAGGCGCATGAATGCCGGCGCTTCACGCTTCAGACACTGACCTTCCACGGAAGCTGGAGACTCGTTACAGAACTGCAAAACGTTTTGTATACCGGATGCAAACATTAACGTTTGATTTAGTAGGGGGGTTTACTGGTCACAAAAGTATTCTCTCAATCGAAATAGCTAGACATTCTCAAGGGGGTTACCAGTCACAAGAAAGAGGACTTTCCTCCTAAAAGGTCCATTATTGTATTCGATTCTTTAAATGCGAATTCGATTCTTCAGTGCTAAAAATCAACCTGATACACGTATAAAACAATGACCTTTACATACATTTGTGGAATACAACATAACAGGAATAAACCAATAACAATAATTTAGTTGCTTGGAAAACAAAAACTAAGGATGATTTAAAGTGATTGCAAGTTCAGGAATATTGAATGGTCGTAATAAAATCTTTTACATGTTTACTTTGCGAGTTTGCGAGTACACTTTCATAGACTGTACATTATTAATGCCCATTATTTTTAAAGAATGGGATGATAAAGAATGGAGACGTTTGTTCTGCTAACTAAACTCGTGGAAAATAGAAAAGACCTAAGGTATTTATTATCGTGAAAAATGTGTTTGTAGGGTAAGGGTTGGTGTCGTATCAGTTTTGTCCAATTTGAATGACAAATCCCAGTGTATAGTAACCAAAGTACTCTTCAATCGTTGTCAGTGTTTACAGGCTATGCTGTGTTTAGTATCTGCAGTCCGATGGCTATCTCAGTACTGTTTAGACCATTTATACCAAAGTTAATTGAAAAATAGTACTTAACGGTTCATGAAGCTTTAGAACCTGCAGAATCATAAAGAATCATTTCTTAAGTTCTCTCTCTCTATTAAACGTCTAGATGGGATAAGACAATTGAAGCAAAGCAATATAAACAGAGCACTTTGAGCATTCTTGCTGTTCTTTTTTTAGAGAGCTATTAACCTGTTGTTTATTTCCATGACGTTTTATATACTCACAGAGACCCCCAAAGGGCCGGCACAGACTGTCGTACACAGAATGAATTTCCTGTAAACATGTCTGTCTTTCATTGTCAGTACATAGGCCAATTGCATTGGCTGAATGGACTACAAAGCACATCTGTGAAATGCATGGCCATGTGAAACATTCAAGATCGTCTCAGAGTCAGTGTTTAATAAGTGATAGAAAGAGTATTTGAAGTAACAAAACACTTTATGACAAAGTCAGATAACCGCAATATTGGGACACAGTTAACTAAATAGCACACATGCCGTCACTACAACATTTCTTTGTAGTTCATTTTAAAATATCTTTGTAGCGGTATTTTTAAAACCTCTTTAAATGAAATGAAAATAAAGAAGACTGAATAACATCCCACATAATATGCAAACACTCTGACTAGTTCCGGGATTCGTCTCTTACAAAACATGGATTGTGTACGCACATTAAACTTACAGAGAAGTTTGCGCCTTGTTAATAGGTCACTTTGATGATTTCAAATGAATTCAGAACTGCCCATTTCCCCTGAAATACTTAATGTTTGACGCCCCTCTACATCACAGATAACATAGATCTATATCTAAGTACAATGAATTAGGGTCGTTTCATTATTGGCCAATAGCAGGCTCTGTTTGGCTGACGTCACCCTTAGGTTGCTCGGGGAAAAAAGGCCGTGTTGGCTGACGAACACTAAAGTAGAAGGCAGACACCTAATGAACATGGGCAACGATACCAGTCCTGGCAACAAAAAACCACAAAAAAGTGGTCCACAAGGAGATAAAGATGAGTTAAAGCGCACCAGACGAGTGAGTACAGGCTACAAAAACCAGCTGTAATGAAATAGTTGTATGCATAGGCATGTTCTCTTATCAACAAATCTACGTATCTCTGAGTTCATGCATATTTTGTGGTGCCGTTTTAATGCCAAGTATTTTCTCTCCAATTTGAAGTGCCATGTGGAAAAATTTTCGAAGTTTTTAATTACGATATTTTTCCGAAATAGTGAATGTGGGTGGGTCAAGGTAAATTATAGTAACCTGAAATTCACTTTTCATTTAAAAAAGGAAAACAAGTTGATTTTCTTAGCTTGTGTGAACTATGCGCGCAGCGCAAGCCTTCCGTAAGTGCGATCTTTTTCAACTTCGTTCCTAGTAACGCATAGAATGACCTGTGTATACACCCAGAACTGTGGGGTCCGTCGTCCGCTGCGCTCCCACCACGCACGGAGCTTGGCGGACGACTGACCCCACAGTTCTGGGGTAACCTGTGTTCATGTAACATGTACGGTGAGAAACTCCAAGGGTGAAGGTGGTTTTTTTATTAGACTTGTTTGCTGCATCCGAATCTGTTGTCTAGAGATAGGTCCAGGTCTCCACTCCATTGGAAATACGTGGTGAAGCGCAGACGATAGATCTTGCCATAGCCGTCGATGCCAATATTTTTAGCGTTATCCGAGAATGCTGAAATCAATGTAACCGCGTAAAACCAATGCACAGGTAGGTGCACCTGCACCGTACAACGTACATGGCTAGTATACATGCCATCTCAAATTGTATGAATTTGTCCAATATTTTTGTGTCGATGAAGGTGCATTGAATCTAATACAAAACGACTTCCATAAGTGGCACTTTGTAAACTCTGCAGGCTTTCATACAAACGTGAAACAACTTGCTTCGCGCAAGTTGTGTGGTGGAAGCACACGAGAAGCATACACGGTAAACTGGTTCCTACTGCTAAAGGGAGCGAGGACGACATGGAATGGCCGGGAGCCACTGTAAACACTTGAAACGCATGGATAATTATGTTATTGGTAAACAAACTTAATCTTGTATTTTTAGATTTGCAAAATAGAATTATATAACCTGCAATAAAGACACTGCTTGTTTGTGATGAATTCTATGTGAATTTCAAATTCCAAAATAAGGTTATAATTTTAAAGGTATTTTTAAAACTTACTTTGACAATTGAGCAGTTAAAGTAAACGTGGCAAATGATCAAACCGACAATAATTAGATAACTCTTCAGGTTAAAATCTGGCTATGTGGTGTTTAAGGTCACATGGCTTCTGACTAGCGCCCCTGAAGAAAGATAAATGACAAAAAAGGAAGAGCCACCGACGGTGCTCTACTTGGATAATTTCAAAAAGCTCATGCTCATATCTTAATGAAAAGTTTTGGTTGTTTCCTTTTTGCCACGTAACAAAGACGTCTTTGTGGAGTGTCATGAGTTGAAGGGAACTTATCAAATCAGTAAAATAATACCTGTTTATTGATTTTTAATAAAATGTTACTATGATCGTTTAGTTAGTTATTAGTTTGAAATAGTGTCTAGTTATCATTTGTTAGCATATTTCGTAAACTGAACCAAGTATACACATTTATTACTAAAAAGTCGGTATCTGTGAAATGTGATTTCAGACAGTAATTCAAAGTTTCCTTTTGTAAAAAATTAAGGATATTTATTCAGCAGTTTGGGATATTTGCACGCATAGTAAGCATCGTTGAGAATGAATAGCCAAAACGTCATCCCCTTTTTGATAGTTCCGTTGCAACAATAATGACTGTTAACTTAGTTCTGAAATCAACTCCAATAAATTCCACTCCAAAGTTCGCCCTTTGATTAATAGATGAATTAAAAAAATTAGTTCTCACCATGCAAGAGTGTAATATCACTCCAGAACAAAATGTCTGGAATAAATGTATCATTATAATTGGAAACCTTAACTTTATTTTTGTTTAAAAAAATGAACGGTTTTGTAACATTAGAGAAATAGTCTGACAAACATTACAATTATTGCACTGTTTCTCCATCCTGAACTGTACGCTGTCGTCATGGAATTCCCCGTTGAGTACGATGCGCTGTTCAACTGTTCCCATTGGCGGACAATTTTTTTCTACGACACGTCACACAAAATGTCCCGAGTTGTGGGATGAAAATCATAGCTATCAATTGGAAGCATTGTCTGTGAAGTTTAAATGAAAGACCGGAATAATTTC